TGATCGATTATAGTATGAGCCGCTATGCGAGCCCTCGTCTCTCAGTCGCAGCGAGGATGAACCATGGTAGGGGGAGAGGGGTCGGTTTATGCAACTTTCACGTGTCTTTAGAATTAATCACTGGCCTGATGTGTCGTCGTATTTAATTGTAGGTAGGAAAGTTGCATAAACTTTCTCCTGTGTTTTAGGCCAAGTCCGGCAAGACCAACCCCATGCGCGATTTGCGCATCGAGAAGCTCACTCTCAACATCTGCGTGGGCGAATCCGGCGATAGGCTCACTCGAGCAACTCGCGTGCTGGAGGCTCTCACCGACCAGAAGCCCCTCACTTCTACTGGTAAGCCCATTCGGAATTTTTCACCCCTTTTTACCGACGTTTTTCAGCTCGTTACACCATCCGTTCCTTCGGAATTCGCCGTAATGAGAAGATCTCTTGCCATGTCACCGTTCGCGGCGAGAAGGCTGCTGAGATTCTCGAGAGGGGTCTCAAAGTTAAGGAGTACGAACTTCGCGACCAGAATTTCTCCGAGACTGGCAACTTCGGCTTCGGCATCAGCGAGCACATCGATCTTGGCATGAAATATGATCCTTCTACTGGTATCTACGGTATGGACTTCTACGTTCATATGGGCCGCCCTGGTCGTCGTGTCGGTGAGCGCAAGAGAAAGTCTGCTCATGTCGGTCGCCATCACCGTGTTTCCGCTGAAGAGACGAAGGAGTGGTTTAAGAACAAGTACGATGGCATCATCCTAAACTAAGCAGAGAAATGCTCTTGCTGACTCACGGACCATTTCCGCTGCGAAAATAAATACTTTTTCGTGTTGTGTTATTCATACAATTCACAAAGTGATTTTGACCGTCGGAGAGTCTTCCAGCTTTGTTCCCCTCCTCAGGGTTTGATAACAATGAGGAAAATGATATTTTCTAACGTGATGACATCTACGTGGGAAACTGATTGAAAAATGTGTTACTGGATGATTCGGTGGTATACTGCCGAGTTCGCGTAGCAATGTGGGAAAATATGCACTGATAGTGACAATATGAAATTTCTGAGGGAAATTTTAGGGATATTCTTATTGATTTTGCACACCTCTACCCGAAACCGTGCGGAAACACGTAAGCTCAGCTGAGGA